AATGACGACAGGTTCAAGTCTGGCAAGTTGAACGTTCATTCCGATTGGCTTGTTGTTAACACGAATGTCCCATGGTCAAGTGCAGGTTCGAGTCCTGGGGGTGGGATTACTAAAGGTTTCACTGAATGTTTTGGGTGGTATTACTAACGCTCGATGTTCCGTCTAGGCAAGGTTCGAGCGCTAAGGCGAACGGAGGTAGCCGGCGTTTTGTAGCGCTCGCTTTCGTCCAGCGTCAACTCAGCACGAGGATCGCAGACGTCTCAAGCTGGTGTTTGGTAGCTCGGCCCGGATATCAAAGCATGGATAGGATTCAACGCAACGTAACGAAGGACAGCGTGTTAATTCATGGAGCGGCCGAGAGCTCGGAGTTCTCATTTTTTCCTCGTCCTCTCTTTTTGGGTACAGGAGATAATAAGTTCCGTACGTTATATGTCCGAATGCTGGATGCCCAGAAGGTAGCTGAATGCTTGCTAGAGAACGAGGAAGGGTCTTGTCAGCATTTGAATAACGACCCATCACCGTCCCATTTCTGTCGCCCGACTACGATCCCAGCGTGTTCGCCAAACCATCATGATTCGAGACGGTTCAAGGGGCATACCCGTCACAGCAACATGCAGCAGAATGAGAACTGGGAGGCGTGATGGTGGTGAAGTTGAAATCTGCATACACCTAATGGATACCAAAGAAGGGAGCTCTCGAGATGATGTTGATACTGACCTGAACAGTGTTCTCGTACAGCATGAGACCCCCGAGACATTTGAGTTCCCCGCTGGGTATCTTCGCGCCAGCATAGTCCTTATCCTCGTCCTCCGGGGTATGGTTCGAGTAAAGCACAATCACGAAGTCGCAGGCAACGGAAATGGGACACACGAACTTGACATTGGATCTCCTTGCTGGATATCTTGACGACCTTCGCGTGGACCTTATCGAATCCCCAAGCTCCTCGTCTTCCTGGGCGTGGTTCGAATAGCGTAAGGTCCACGTCGTAGTCAATGGAAATGAACCTGAGACAGATGGCGATCACCGGGACGTACACTATGAGGCTTACTCGTAGGTTTGTGATAGTGGCGCGCACAGTTGTCCATTGGTATCGACACGGGGTGTAATCGTGGTTGATGGCTATTTTCTCTGCAATGCGGGGGCTTCGCTAACGTGCACCGAGGTGGTAAGCTTTACCAGTCTATTGTAGTATGCACAATGCACCAGGTTCGAATCCTGGGGATGAAATCCATGAATTGGTTTCTATGTTTTGACAACCTGTGTTTTCAACGTGGCTGAAGAAATGGAAAGGGTAGGACCAATTTTTGGTATGCAGGTTCTCAGTCAGCAGAAGAATCAAGGAGTGGGCACGAACTGTCGCTGACATATTTCTTCAGCTTAAAGTACGCGTTGTCTTGGACGAGCATGACGTTGGCTTGTTAAATGACAGAGTAAGTAGACAAGGACAATTAAGCCAGTGGCTGTGTTCCGCATCGAGTGACGTTCAGGCACGCATTCTTGGCGACTGACCATCGCTTGGCTACCCTCGCTCAGCATCTTACCACGTCTGTGTCGTGCACCAAATCTTCTGGCAGCCCCAAGGGCCTCGGATACCAACTATTACCCCCCCACCCCGCACATTGAGGCGCCTGTCAACTTCTCAGTGTCGCCCCGATAAAATTACCACGCCAGTAGTTGAACTGCGCGCGCTGTTGCTCCCACACCGTGCCAATCTCATACATGAAGAATGCCAGGGGATCACATATAGGGTGCCATCAAATCCCAGCGAAAACGACGACGATGACAGGGCGGCAGAGGGATATGGTTGGGGCAAGGCTACGGGGCGGAGGGATGGGATGATCAGTGGGTCCGGAGGAACGAACGGGATATGTCGACTCGGAAGACGTCCAATGGCTGCAGCGACAGCAACGCTGTTTTGGGCATTGACTACCATCCCTTGGATATGATATATGGTAGACGACGTTCCTGCCATCTGTTTCCGCCAACGACGATGTTGTAGCCGCCGCCCAACGGTCCGTCCATCCTGCGTCCCGACTGCATCATGATCCAGCACCTCCGATATGCTGGACAACTACTAGTACTATTGGACTGGCACGTCTGGTGTATTAGCGCTGTACCAAGGTGCTTGCCTCCGTATACAACAGCTCACTGCGTGCACTCGGCTGTGGGCCTATATTTCATTTACAATTTGTGCTAAATGGGTTCTACTACAAAACATCATCCGCACGCGTCATTCTGTCCTTCGTTCTTCTTCCCGTACACTCGTGACGTCATGACTCTCTTGTCCTCCTCAGGCCTTGATATAGTTCGTCCCAGAAGTAAACATCCTATCCACGTTATAGTCTAACGACACAAAAGTCAGTGCAAACGTTCGATTCGTGGGGTGGTACTCAACTGATATGGCGAGGTCTTTTTTCTGCTATACACCCCTTGTTTTGAGTTCTTTCTTGTTCGCAAGGCCTCGCGCGCCACCGCTCCACACGGATACCCAATTCTCGGATAAGGTGCCGCAATTTGTCAATAGACCGACTCTCGCCGCAAGCTAATTTATCACCTCATCCTGCGGCGACCCTCCCGCTACTACCAACTCAAAGCACGACTAGGACCGATGAACTGCAGACTAACATGCCCAGTAGCCTAGCATGTATCCATGGTCAACTCCTGGAGGTCAAGTTGTCAACCTTCGCTCTGAGCCGCGTTTCTCCTCCATTTCCGAGAAGAGGGATGAGTCTTTTCGATTTGACGTACGAGAGGAGATGTGCATTATATCCTTGACACGTCCCCTTCGTTGGACATCCCAATCCAGATAATTCGACCAGTGGGTATGCGTAAAGCCCTGGGTTCGGTTCCCAGAGGTCGAGTCTTTCAGCTCGTCTGTCGACATTTTTTACGTGTGACCACAATGCTCCTCTTAGCTCTACGTCCAGCGTACACCAAAGCGACGATGTTCTCACCGCATACTTACATCGCCTTGTTAACATCTGAGATTCTTATGGATACACCAGGTTCGGGTCCTGGAGGTGGGTGGACTGGACAAAGGCGGGTGTTTATAATTTTGTTTTATCCCTGCCGCCGCGTTGAACAAGCAGCGTTGTTACATCCGGCATCGGAAAGTTGAAAGTTCATTCCGGCTGCTTTGTTGTCTCGTGGCCCAAGCGTTGGATGCCCCAGGTTCGAGTCCCGGGGACGGGATTTCGGAAGGAAGCAGTGTATATTTTTTGCATTCTGAGATCGTGAAAGCGAAGGTTGAACAGAGCGTCTTCGTCGCAGCACTGGCCGGTTTGTCAATGATGCAATGTCTCGGGCTGGTGTTCCAGCACGAGGATGATCTGGGCCGGATATCAAAGCATGCATAGGATTCAACGCAAAGAAGGACATGTCCATGTGTGTTATTTCAGAGAAAGAAGGGCATGCCACCAAGAGTTCCTATTGATCGCCTCGTCGTCTCTTCCAGCCAGATGACACGTTCCGTGCGTTGTATGTCCGGATGAGGATGTCTGCTAGAAAATGAGGACGACTCCTGTCAACGTTTGATAACGATTGACCTTGAGCATCTCATTCCTTTCGTCCGAATACAATCCCAGTGGACCATGCTTCGAGAAGGGGCAGACACGTCAAAGCGGCGTACAGAACTGGGAGTGGTATAGATTATGTACATGCGCCTAGCGGATACGGAATGATACTGATTCATACCCACCGCATCTCGAGACGTTTGAGCTCCCCGCTCACGTTAACTTACCCTCATCCTTCCTGGGCGACGGCTTCTGCATGGCCCTTGTCCTCATCCCGGTTCGAATAGCACAACGGAAAATGGAACACGGCAGATGTCGAGGTCAGGGAATACACGATGAGGCTTGCTCGTGGTTCGCGTGAACGTTGGCAGCTGATGGTGATTCGTGAATCCGGCACGGAGGGTAGGTGACTTTGTACAATGTAAGTATTCGCCCAGGAGGTCACTCGATCCCAAATAGGCCCATCTCTATGGTCAGGTCAGTGGAAGAATCAAGGCATGAATCCAAGTTGTCGCTGTGCTTCAAAGTACGCGTCGTCTCGGACGAGCATGATGGTAGTTTGTGATGGCTTGTTCAGGGTCAATGCCACGCGATCGAGCCTTGTCTTCTCCGATTTCCATTATACTCATCTTTTCCTTGCCTTCTTTCTTTGGATATTTGTCTTTATTGTCTCAGCTCATTTCCTTTATATACAGACCAGCGAGCAGCAGTAGTCCTTCCACTCCGACGACGGTCTCAAATTTCCCAAACTACCACCGCTGGACCATGTCGACGTGACCTCCCTTTTGCAGGAGGTCGAGGCATTCACGGAAAAGTTGAAAGAAATGGACTCAGTGCTCGCCCATGTTCAGCCTTCTCGTCGGGACGGGCCACAACTTCCCGCACCACCGGAGCCCCGTTCGCAGCCTCAGCCTCCTCTTTACTTTAACAAGTCCCCCCGTAACCTCTACGTCTCTCCCTTACCTCTTAAGACTCTTTCCCCAAGTCAAGGAGGCCACGATCACCTCGGTTGTCCAACACGAGCTCCCCCCTTCCGATCTCTACAAACTCGACTCGCGCTACCTTGATGAAGGCAAAAAGAAGACTTCGGAACTCCCTTTCGAGTTCCCCAATATCAACTCGTCCCTGAAGGAATACGAAACTCTCAGCTCCATCTTCGTACCTCTATCGACCTACTTCTCTAATCTTGTCGTGTGCTACCAGTTTGCTGGAAATTCGGCCTTGCTTGCGGTTCAACTGTTCCGCTATAATGCCCACCTCGCAGAAATTCCTTCCGTATACGCATGTCATTTGGTTGTGCCGTACCATATGGCGTAACACGTTCTTTACGCGGCGACAACACAAAATAATTAGCGGCGACTACGGTGGACGGGGCGCGTAGCTCATACTGAAGCTACAGAATGAGAAAGAAACTCTGACTAGTAATTCTGCAAATGTATTATCCAGGGATCATCTGCCAGAATATAATATAGTATCTAACCATATTAGGGCACTATAGCCAAGTGGTTAAGGCGACAGATTAGAATCTTTGCATAAATCTGGAATCTATCTGTTACTCTCTGAGTGCGCAGGTTCAAATCCTGCTGGTGTCGTCGACATGGATTCAATCATATTTTTATTAATCAAGTTTCAACCAAACTTGGACCATGGTTTACCGTTTAATTTTAAAATTTGAATATCATTGAGGAGCCGGAACTTGGAAGCACCTGAAGTTTGAACAATGAAAAATGTTGAATGAAGGTTGTATCGTTGGATCAGGCTTCTCCCTGTTCAGTAAAAGGGAATGCTAAGCATCAGATATGGTGCAGTCCCAAACACCCAAACTTATCTGCAAATGTATGTGAAGGACCATGGTATTTCACACATGTAGACCTATAAATTCAAAGTACAGGTCATGAAAAGGTAGGTTATGGGGATTGCTGCACGAAAAAGTGCAATTTGAACTCGCTTATTGCAGGAGAAAACAATCAGTATGTATCCATGATGCCCACCCTCCATTAACACTGATAAACGACGCGTTGCACACGAACTAAACTGTCTTCAACGTCAGTTCTGCTCCTCGTCAAACCTATCATCCACAAGGATACCAGTCCCCATCCACCTTACAGAATCGGCCTTTAATCAGTACCCCCACATCCTCGATAATCATTCTCTTTCACGCGATCCACTTTTCCTATATATCACATGCCGCAGCTTAGCATGTATGCACCAGGTTCGACTCCCGGAGGTGAACCAAAATACATGCCGTGGGATTTTTCTTGCTTCGCCCGCTCAAGCATAGCGCACGAGGGACAATCCGCGTAAGACATCTTCATTTACAACCAACCACCCACGACTAATTCAAAAAGAAGGACCAAGACCCATCTCGAAAGGGAAACGGACCAACCGCATCATCCCACTGCCCCGCCGCACCCTCAACCGCCCTCCTCGCCTCTTGAAACCTCTCCTCCTCCACCCACCCCTGCCCATCACACCCCACATACTCCACCAGCTTCTCAACCGTAGCCTGGTACCGCACACGAGCCCTCAGCTCCTCATCATGGGCTTCACGCTCACCCGGCGGAAAATCAATGGCACAGGGAACGGTACTGGAATCCGGGTCGGAAATCTTCATGAGCGCGTCCCGGAGCCTCAGCGGCCCGTCAGCCCAACAGCGGAGAACGTACAGAGGGAGGTCGCTCGTAACCTCCTGATGGGGGTATCGCCATGCAGCAGCGTGGATGGGCACGAGCTTTGGTAGCTGAGCGAGGTAGAACCGATACCGGGATAGCAACTTGTGGTGCAGCCGGAGGTATTCCTGCTCGTCCGAGGGGCACTGGTCGATGTCTTCCGGAAGAGGCGGTACGTATCCTTCAGAGTCAAGCTCGAAGACACCGTCGGTGTAGGCAAGAAGTGCTGGTATGGACGCCTGCATGAAGACGGGAGCGACGATGGCACCCTGCCAGTCGAGGAAGCAAGTGATGGATGGTTTCTCGGGGCTCTCGATGAGCATGTTTGATGCGCTCATGTCAGGGTGCGCGAGAAGGGGAGATAATAACGTGGAGTCCGGAGGAGCCAGGTGAGGAGCAGCGGCTATACATTTTTCGAGGAGTTGATGTATTTCGGGAAGGTCTTGCAGGCTGGAGCGAGTAGAGGATGAAGCTGTTTCAACGCCTCGAGAGAGAGATTCCTGCGCGAGTCGTGCAGCGGCGGTGATATACGAAGCCATGTCAGGCCCTTGTGAAGGGATGAGAAGGAGATTTGATGGAACCAGTAGGAATATTTACACACAGGGACCGCGATCGGCTCGCATATTCCTCCGCTCCCCCCGCCACCACTCCCTGTCAACTATGGGTCCAATTCGGTATTTCTGGGCACTTAAACGCTGGTTATCCTCATCGCTCAGATATAATGGCCGATCCTGTAGCTCTGGGCTGACATCTTCCTTGAAGTACAAGCTCCCGATTTGGGAAAACTTCCGAAGGGTGAAGAAATACTGCAGCCAACATATGTCCGACATGGCATAACCTGTTTGTACGCCCTTGATGTGGTACCAACAGGACTGAAGAGGTGGATTTGGGAGATATTCCATGAGGATGAAGGGCAAAGCAACAGGATTCGACGAGGATGCGTTCCAGGCGAGTACTTTGGGGGCATAGTGGCTATCGAGCTCCTCGCGAACGAATTGCATAGTCGCGACTTCGCTGCATGTGCTCAAGTGTGTGTTTCCGACGATGGATGAAGGAATACGGGCAACGGCACGGGAGGTATTGTCAAATTCGAGGAGAAATATTTTATTATAGGAGCCTGGTGATGATTAGGACGAATATAAACTTGAAAGAGAAGCTAGACATACCTTCTGCAATCTTAGTGAAAGCGGTGCAGCGCCGAGCGTCGACAGATTTACAAGCTATTTCTTGGAGAGCATCCACACCGAACGGCGTATACCTAGCGGCACGTTCTGCAATATCCACTTGTCAGTTCAAGCCACTTTTAGGAAAAGGTCTTACGTTCAGCATCATTGTATAGCCATCGACCAGAAGGGCTGTACAAAGTATGTGTTGCTAGCGAGCTCATCGAGCGCGCGGGTTTGGCTCGATGAGAACATTGGAAGAAGATGCGAAGCTGAGCATGCATATGAGAAGCGAGCAGAAATCGACCAAATGAGTCGCTTACCAAACGATACTTTCAACCGGGCCGAGAATTTCTCTCCACCAGCCAACTCTTCGTCAGTACCCAAGTCTTCCTTTAGCTTCTCGACCCGCATTTCGAAATCCACTGGTCCGGGAACAGACGCCTCCATCGAGTATGAAAATCCGACACTTAGCTTCAGCCCTGGGAACTGTAGTTGACTTTCTCGTATAGAACTGTGTGAGGTAGTCGTGTCTTTCTGGTGGAAGTCGGTCGACATCTTCGGCTAGGACCTTCAGCTTCATGTGTTAATATTGCAGCTTGGGTGAAAATTGGTGAGGTAGCGGCGCTTTGCTAGTCAATGAAGCAGGCGAAAGAGCAAGCATAATGAAATGGAGGATGTAGTTCAAGTTAGAGATATACCGGAAATTGCCGGTCGACGACGTATCGTTTCTCTAAGCGGCACCCTTCTACCAGATACTTATAATGAGAACAAATGATCAAATAACATATCATAACAGCACATCATATAACAGAGCATCCTTATTCAATATTCAATATTTAAGCACTGATCATCAGATCCATTCCTTTGAGAATACAGCGGAATCGCCGTCCTCATCCCTCATCCCCGTCTGCCTCACCCTCATCACTATACGCGTCTTCGCACTCGGCCAAACCCCGTTTTTGTTCAAGTTTATTGAACCCAAGATAGTCCCCATATGCATGCCTGCCCTCTTTCTTCCATACGCTCCGCCTGATCCTCTCTCCGCGGACATCACGACTGATCTCGCTCTCCAATAGGCTTATAGAATGCCAGGACGTCATCCGAGGAAGCTAAAGATATTATTAGTTAATCACAAAACCAACAACTGAGAAGACACGTACGCATTCATCAAGCCTCCTCTGTACCTCCCTCAGCTCTCGGAAGAAAAATGACAGTACATTCCCTTCCAATCAAAGCTAACCTCAAGCTTCGAGTCAAGGTTTGAATCAGAGAGGTATCGAAAGTCTGGTAGCACCGTGTCATTGAGTTCGTGCCGGATCTAGATAATCATGTTCGGGCGTTCGAGGGATGGACCAATCCTCAACACCTCCTCAATACTATTTTTATATTTATAGGATTCGAATATCGCACGGGCAGAGTCAGTGGGATCGAGGCAATAAAACTGAAATTCTACATCTATGCCATGGCGGTCTTGTAAGAAGATAATCAGTCAAGGGTAGGCACAATATGCACTAGTTCGGCCTACCGTTTGTTCCTGCTCTCGTTTTTATTGGTTTGGGGTCGAAGCGAAGCCAAGTTTTTTTCAGATGCTTGGTGGCAAAGACGCGTTCTACCGCAGCTTTCCACTTGCGAGAGACTGGCCTACAGTTTAGCCAAAGAAAACAAAGATCTTTGACTCGGATGCCGCATCGGAGCAAGATTGCATAGAATACATCGACAGGAATATCCTGAGATAGTGGAGGGGCATGAGAGTCAGTCCAAAGTCTTTCTTTTAAAATCCGAGTCCTGTGGGTCCAAAGAAGAGCAGATCAGCACTGTACGCAAGTGCCCTTATAGTCGTATTCCATAGGTCGAGCGGCATCTCGGCTGGGGATCTCCGTCACCTGCCAGGAGTGAGCGCTAGCGCAGGGCTGTGGGTAGGTTCGTCGATGGGTGAGCTCTTGCAATATTTACGGCTTCGGTGGCTCAACAGTGCTTCTTCCTAGTTTATTCAAAAAAGGAGGTCTGGCTAGAAGAAAAGTCTTTTGGAGAAGGATAAATGCGAACGACATGGACGCCAGAAGGAGAGAGGAAGTTCAAACCGTTTCGGCATTAATCGGCCCGCACCGCCTCACTGCATGAGTTCCTCAGTCTTTCGCCAGATTCTAATATGTATGGTCATGCTCGACTTAGGATCGCTGAAATTTAAGGTTATCGAGTTTTCAAGTTTATGCATCATGCTATAGAGATCTCAGTCAGCAGAACCATTAGATTGAGATGTACTGCCCTACGCTAATCCGCTGTGTTCGTAGGCCAAGAAACAGTCCAAGGTTGAACGGGCATCTGTGAAAAGAAACAAGTTTGGATAAGATATCATGTTTGAGTACATAGCTCTACTTAAAGGTATTTGAAGAACGCCGGCAAAATATTCTAATTCGGAGTCCAAGTCATTGCTACTCATCGTCTTCCTCTGAGTTAGCCTCTTCCGACGACGCGTCATCCTCATTCTCGCTCTCATCCTCATCCTCATCCTCATTCTCCTCATCTTCATCGTCGTTCTCCCCATCCTCATCTTCATTCTCCTTATCTTCGTCTTCATCTTCATCCTCGTCTGCGTCGCTCTCATCACTGTCTGGGCTTTCTAGCATGGCCCAGTGCTGCCTTCTCTCCAGGATCCCAAACCCTGAACGGGCACCCCAAAACACATCCCTAACCTCCTGGCTCTCTACTTCCCACATGCACCGCTTAATCCTCTCCAAGCGAACATGACGGGCGATC